GGGGTTGACTCGACAGCACATAACAGCAACAACATATATATATATATAAAACTCTAAAACTCACTGCCGTCAAGTCCATTCAACTCATAGCGACCCCTCCTTGGTTTTTGAGGTGGTATCTCTATGGAAGTAGGTTGCCCAATCTTCCTTCCGAGGAGTAGATGGTAGATTTGAACCACCAGCCTTCTGGTTAGCAGCCAAATGCCTTAGGCACTATGCCACATGGGTGTATTGTCTTTTGCCTAGATATACCTGATCATTCAGCCTGTCTACCTATGTATCCACCTATAAATTAATGTTATTACTAATAATGAGTATTGTGTATGTGAAAGTATATATCTTTGCTGCTTTTAGCTCTTGTGCATCTCTGTGTGTCTTCCTTTTCCTTAGTGTTGTTGTGTTGGTCACTCACTTTTGGTGTATTACCCTTTCCTTCACCCAAATCAATGTGTGTCTCTTACATGTCTAGTAATTTTCCCTCCTCTTTTCCCATCCTCGGTAAACAGCAAAGGAAATTTTCTTCCATGTACAAACCTTTCTTTGACGTTTTACAGTAATGGGCTAATACGGTATTTATCCTTCTGTGATTAATTTATTTTATTCAGCATAATGCCCTCCAAGTTCATCCACATTATGAGATGTTTTGTGGGTTTGACATTATTCTTTAGTGTTGTGTGATATTCCACTGTGTGTATGTACCGTAGTTTGGAATAGTGCTGCAATGAACGTGGATGTGCGTGTATCTGTTCGTGTCCTAGCTCTCACTTCTGTAGGATATTTTCTTAGGAGTGGGCTTTCTGGATTAATTGGTATTTCTCTTTGCAACTTTTTAAGGAATTGCCATACTGTTTTCCACAGTGGTTGTATCATTTTACAGTCCCATGAGCAGTGTCTGAGAGACCCAATCTCTCCACATCCCTGCCAACATTTGTTATTTTCTGTCTTGTTGAACTTTGCTGTTAGTTCTGGGGTGAGATAATATTTCATTGTTGTTCTGATTTGTATCTTTTTAATGGCTAATGATCACAAACATTTCTTCATGTGTTTGTTGGCTGCTTGAGTATCTTCTTCGGTGAAGTGTCTGTGCATGTCTTCTGCTCATTTTTAAATTGGATTATTTGCCTTTTTGTTGTTGAGGTGTTGGAATTTTCTATGAATTTTAGAGGTCAGTCCTTTGTCACATTATGTCATTGCTGAATATTTTTTTCCCCAATCGCAGGTTCTCATTTTATTCTTTTGGAGAAGTCTTTTGATGCACATAAGAATTTAATTTTT